GCGCGGCGCTCGGCCCGCGGTGTTTTGGGCACGAACTGTTGACCGTGCTGGGAATGGAGCGCTAGACCCCAGCTGGTGTGAAGGACCCGGGGTCCGTTCGCGCTGACGCGACCGTGTCCGCTGACTCCCGTGTGTGAGCAAAGTCCAGCCTAAAAAATAAAACGTAAGGAAAATGTCCTGCTCTTCAGACCTAAGCAGCGCTGGGCCTGCCCCTCGCTGGCACGGCCGCTGCTGGGGCTTTCCCTTCTCCTCGCTTGCCTTTGGGGGGTTTGATGTCCCTGCAGCGTCACCTTCCGTGGCAGCTCCCGGCGCTGCAGCGACAGGCTGAGCCTGTTCTCGCCCTTCCCCAAGTCCAGCCTCCTCTTCTCACTCCGTCAAGCAATAACTCTGATTTGGCCTGTTTTTAATAACTAAGACTCTGAAGTGCCGGTGAACTTTAATCAAGATAGATAGCAGCATTGGAAACAGTTTGTGGGGTGGGGGGGTTGTTTTTGTTTGTCGTGGACACAAGTCCTGACTTGTAGGTGTCCCATTTGAGTTGCTTTAAGAAACCTGAAGTTTTTTTTTCCAGAAAATACTGAGCAACCTCCCTCTGAATATGACTCCCCACTTAAATGAGGAGTTATTAAATGGGGATTAAAACGAGGCCCCTTTTGGTGGCCTAATAAGAAAAGCATTGCAACTAATATGCTTAAATGATCTATGATCTGTTACTGCGGAAAATCTTGGCCGTATTTCAATGTACAATATCCTGACCTGTCGTTCAGAATCCAAACGCCTTCGTGGCCCCCGTAAAATTCCTCTTAAAATGGATGTGAAGATGAATCAATTATAACAGCAGTATTCTTTGAATTGTGTAGTACGTGAACTTTCGGAGAGGCTGTCAGCAAACGCTTGCTTTTGAAAGGTAAGCAGCGAAGGGGGACTAAAAGCATGACGTGCTCTCTTCAGATTATAATAAGGTTGTCCGTGCCCTGCAGCTCTCCTGCCTGTCTGTCGCGTCCTCCCTAGGGTCAAACTTCAGCAACTGAAAAACGGCGCGTCCGCAAGCCCGGCGGAGCTCTGGGCCGATGTGCCGACAGGCGTGAGACCGTTCGAAAGCCTTGCCCAGACCCTGCTGCGGGCTGGGGTGTCCCGAAGGCAGCTCAGACCTGCTCGTGCAGTTGACAGTGCTGGCTCGCCTTCCCGGCTCTCTTGCTCCGCGAGTATCCCTCCGTGTGCCTGCAGACAGCTTTTTTTTAAAAAAAAAAAACAAAAAAACAAAAAAAACCGCGACGACGGGGCCTGGCTGGCAGCGTGCTCCGTGCGCGCAGTACGAAACTGTGATACCGTCTCCTTGCAGATGAGACAACTAAACGTCTGAAGTGTTTTACAGAGCTGTGACTGGC